TGCCAGCTGGCCAGAGGTGCTCCCTTCTTGGTGCATCCCCACCCAACCCAGGTCCCCTCTGCTCAGGAGCAAGCCACCCAGGGGAGCACAGGCAGCATGCAAGAATGGAGCAGCCCCACCAAAGGGCATGCCTCACCCTTCCAGGGTCTGCTTGAACGGCTCCCTCCTAGGTAGAAATGGCTTCCACTAGGATGCCTTGTTCTTGGAACATCACTGCTGAGCCCACAGCCCCACTTTCTGCTCATACCGGGCAGTAAGCCCAGGGCAGGGGCAGGGGCAGGGGTGGGAACGCAGGCCATGGGCTTTGCAGGCATGGCCCATATTCAAACCATTCCCACCCAGTCGGCTCCCAGCTCCAGCCTGAGCATCCCGCTCCCAGCAAGCTGCTTGGCAGGCCTGCTCTAAGAACAAAGCCGCACTGGGCAGCTGATCAGCGGCTCGCTCCTCCTGTCCCAGAGCAGGTCCCTCCGATCGCTGCCAGCTGCATCCCTGGGCAGCCACTTAGCGAGAGCAGCAACAGCCGCTCTTGACAAGCGGCTCATTTGTTCTGGGGTTTCCCACAAGTGGTTGCGTTGTTTGAGTCTGGATCGCAAAAGAAGTGATTGTTCCATGGAGCAACCCTGGAACAGGCCATTGTTTCTTAGTGTGGTTCTCGACCATGGTAAGTCGCAGTGGTAAGTCATCATGAGTGGATCTGGGCAACACAACGAACAAGCGTTGACAACAAGCACCAGTTGCATGTCACGTTGAGCGAATTCGGTTAATGTGCAGTGAGGTGCCAAGGCAGCACCTGGGCAAAATGATTAAACATCTCTCTCCCCGTCTCTCTCTCTAGATATCAAACCAGAAAAAAAGCAGCTCACGGTGGTTACTAAAAATAAATGTGATTAACCAGTTCACAAGCAGTTGCCTCTACATGTAATATAGAGCAGTATGTAGATAAAAATAATCTCCAGAACCCAAAATGAGGTTTCCATGGATGCAATTATACTTAGGTAAATTTGTTCATAGGGGTTTTTTTTAGATTGCCAGTTTGCTCGTAAAGCATATTTCTCTTGTTTATGCGGAGTGTGCTTTCAGAAACTCATAAAAATGCATGATGCCTAATCTTGAATGTAATGCAGAAGGGAATTATATACTAAATGTAGTTCTATACCTGCATTTGGGTAATTGAAAGCCTTTTATTTTTTAAACAACAACCAAAAAAAAAAATGATTCTAGTCCTGGGTGATTTCACATACCACTTTGAAATTACCAGTCTTGATCAATGTATATTGTCACTCTTATTAAACCAATGCAGTCCCAATCTAGAACACAGATTAAAAAATCAGAAATAGGCGACCTTCCTGAGTCACCAGAGATCTACATACACAGAGAGCACAGGGCCTCACGCTTCTTAACACATCCTCTATACTTTGAGACTTAGGCTACATTGCTATATAAACTTGCCTGGGAGTAATTCCCATTGAACTTAATGGGACTTACATCTGAGTTACAGTGCAGTCCTGTGTATATTTACTGCTATGAAAGTCCCATTGTATTCGATGGGGCTTACTCTCTAATAAGTGTATTTAAGAATGCAGCCTTACAGTTTAATCCTATATATTTCTACTCAGAGGCCTCACTGAACTCAAGGACTTACTCCCAGGTAAGTGGGCATAGGACTGAAGCTGTGTCTCTCTTTCCCCCTGAATGACAAAGTGTGGAAAGGCAAATGACTACAAAGAAAAAGGATGTCCATATATCATCATGAAAGAAGACACAAGCATAAGGTAAGTATTCAGCAAGCCTAAATAAAGGGTCCTTCCAGCCAGAGAGTTCTTAGTAAGACCAAACAAAAGGCACCGCACAGCTATTCTGTCTTTATCTCCATAACCATTTTTTTTCTGCTAAGAAAAAAGAATGTGTGATGGTTGCAATAGAAAACAATGTCTGGATCCCCTGTAAGATTTAGACCAACCCTTAAGGTAGCAACTCATACATTGCTTGCCTTTCCTGAGGTCCAGAATGTTGCAGTAATTAGGCTGTTCAGTTTGAATGAAAGAAACCCAATCTCAAATTTTCACTTGTCCACTAAGTTCTCACAGACACACGGACACACAGACACACGGTAATAACATCCTGAAAAAATCCAGTTTTGAAACATCTGACAATTCTATTTTTCCCTGCAGTTGTTTGGGATGCAAGTTTTCTCTAACCTCTTTTTACTGAAAATTACTTGATTACACCATTTATTCCACCATTATCAATGGGCAAGGTTTACCTTTACTGGCAGACAATTCAGCCATATGTTTTTCAGAATCCATTGCATTGCAATTGCATCCATGTCCTGCTTGTTGGTGTCCCACAGGGATGTGGGTGGCCACTGTGTGAACAGAATAGTGGGGTGCACCACTGGGCCTCTGGCCTAATCTAGCACAGGTCTTCTTGCCTGACTCCCCAGGATCTGTGTCAACAAGTACAGGATACATGAGAAGGCACTGCATTCTTATGGCATTTTTCTTGTCCCAAATATTCCTATTCTGCTTGTGGGGTCCCCAGAGGCATCTAATTGGCCACTAGGGTGCACCACGTGGGCCTGGAGAACTTCAGTCTGATCCCAGCAGGGCTCTTATGTTCTCTTCCTCGTAAGGTCTCAGCAAACAGAACACGTGGCATGACATCCTTCTGAATTGCCCCACTTATGCAGTCCGTGGGGCAAGGTGTCTCTGCCCCACTTGCAACCCCCAACAATACACTCTAGGATACTTATTTGATTCCTGAGGTATCTATTGCCACAAAAAAGCAGAAATAATTGGCTGGTTTCACACTTTATATCATTAATTCACTGCCTTCACTAGTCTGTTCTCAAACAATTGACTAAGACTGATTTTTTTCAGTGAAAGTTTTCCATTGCATAGCTGACTAATTCTTCACTATTTTTAAATGAATCGCCACCAAAGGTACAATTCAAAATTGATAATATATCTATGTAGCATTGCCTGTACAGAGGGCACTTCATATCCTTTTCTTTTTTACTAATGCATCAGTATGTGGAATTAAACATGACTAAAATAAGGAGGCACCAGCAATGTCCTTCAGGCAGAAGCATGTGCAGGCAGAAGAGCTGTTCGGTGTGTGCAGCCCTGCATAAGATTACCCTATCTGGCCTAGAATACTGGTAGGAGAAATGGCAATGCGCATACCCACCATCCTTGCAACTAAGTCAGCAAGCAGGTTGTAGCACACTGCACACAGCAAGTCCATTCACCCGTCTCCATGTGGCATCAGATCAATGGGGCCAGGTGGATACATGCACGGTGGTGTACGTGGCAATACTCCTCAAGCGACACACACTATCACTGAGCAGTCCATTTGGAAATAGATATTGTTGCTCCATCGCAAGTTCACATGGAAGTTTGCATTGATCTCCTTTGTTTCACATATACTGTTCCCCGTCTAGTACTGCAAAAACACAGATCTTCATCCATTTTACAAAATCTGCAGCCCACATGGCAGGTCTTATGAGAGCCTTTTCCATGTTTGCGCCTTTGTATGTGGAGGTGCAGAGCTCCACGTACAGATGAGGCTGCTCTGTTCTCTGTACTACAGCATATTCTCCGTGTTGTACAATTGAGAATCAAATCCCAGGAAAATTTATTTCACTGGATTGCTTTGTTATTATTTTAAAATAATAATATTGTCCAATTTAATCGTCTATAGGTTTTAGAGATTTGTAACCTGTCTACTGCACAGTAATACCTGAATACACTCAAGAGGAAAGCAATGGGCAGAGCCATCCTTCGGTCTCCTAAATAGCATCCCACCATGGAGGCTGGAAAATCACTCTGACATTGGAGCTGGTGATCCATGCTTGAGTCCCTCTCCTTCTCTCACTCCTTGTTTGGGGAAAAAACCATGCAACCTGCTTCTTGCATGGTGACCTCAGAGAAAGAATTTAGTAGCCATTTCAGGGGTAGGGAGGGAAGCAGACTGCCAACTTCCTGCTTTAACTCTGCATATGATGGCCGTAATTCTCCAAGTTCAGAGGGATACAGGCATCCCCACAGGACTGCACCTAAGAGTCCTCTGACACCCTAAAGGTTTAAAAGGGTATATTCTGACCTATGCTTTTGTTGGCACCATCTACTGAAGTATGACTTCAAATCAGAACTGTGATATACTCATGGGGCATGGGGGCCATAAATTCAAGAGGCTGTCTTCTGGTATATGAACTTTTTGTGATTTAATTATTTGATCTGAGAGTGAAATAAAGAACAAAGATAATATGATTTTTGGGTGCAGTTGGATGACAATTAGGCAACATACTTGGTTCTCCAGCTACATTTTGTCCAGGGAGCAGCTTCTCTTGCCCTCTACCTTCCCTCACTGGGCATGACACAAGGTGGACCAAGCCCTCAATGAGTGAAGCATCAGCAGAAGCTTCTCCAGCTAATGCTTCAGCTGGGTACCTGCTTCCCCCAGCACGGATGATGTGGGGTGGCACACTGAATAAACAGTCCTGTACTAAGCAGAAGGCTTCCTTGGGAGTGGGGCAGAGAGTGGTGGAATCCAGAGTGGGGCTTGGGGAGGAGAGCAAACTTGGCCTTCAGAGGGAGCCTCCACGGGCCAGATCAGTCCCACAAGCCAATGTCTCCCAAACACACCACTTTATATCATAAAAACCAGATTGCTTTAAAGGTGCTGACGCATCGCAGCTCTACTAGGAGTTCCCAGCACGGGGAATAAAAGTCTGATATACTTAGTTCCGGTAAAGCTGCTCGGTCCAAGTGCAAAGAGACTACATCAGCAAAAACAATGGAAAAGCCACACTCTGCTTCACTGTTTCAAACCTAAACACGTCCATGTTTCTGCACAGGCAAAGAAATATCCTCTCCCCTTTACAAAAATGAACATGGCAAAATAACTGTGCAATTAAACCTAATGGATACAACTTAGGTTAGCTTAGACATTGTCCATTCCCATTGAAATCAATGGTAATTCAGTTAGTTAGAAGCAAGTTTCGTTCCATTGCTTTAATTGTGAATTAGCTCTCATGAGTAACATCTGATAGATTCTTCCTACTTTAATAATTGTTCTAATATAGCGCACTGATTTTGCCCCTTAAATAACATTGCAATGTGATTCCTTTCTCTTTGCTTCTAAAGTGACAAGTAGTTTTTCCAATAATGTTCATGTTCTTTAGCCACATAAAATGTAAGTACATAAAACATATAGAACTTCAGGTTATGCTGACATTTCTATTGTGCAAGTTCGAATCCTGGTAAATGACACAATGCCATGGAATGTCCAGCTCCACATCCAATTAAAAGTAGTTGTGCAGAACTAAGAGCCCTGACCGGCTGAGGAGGACAAATGTTTCCTTCTGTTCCATCGCCGCACATCCCATGCTCATTCCATCCCCAGGAAAAACACTGTCTCCCTGAGAGAAAAAGAACAAATATTGTAATCGGAACATTAAAGCAATTAATACAGTGTCATAACTCCCTAGCTCAGATCAACTTAGCAATCAGCAGCTGCACTGTGCTTGAAATGAGCAATATTGTGAGAGCTCTGTATTGTCTTCCCAGATGGACACTCCAGGATTTCCGATAGCAGTCACCTGGAGATGCCAAAGATGGGACCTGGTAACTTTGGCAAGCTCTACAGCTCAGCTACAGCCTCCTCCCAAAATACTGTCCAAGTAAACAGTATTGTGAGCCGCCCCGAGGCTTCGGCGAATGGGGCGGCATAGAAGTCTCCTAATAAATAAAATAAATAAATAAATAAACAGAGAAGCATTGCAACTGGGCTGATATTTTCACTTTGAATTTTTTGAGAAGGAATCAAATGTGTGGTGTGAACTTTAAGGTCTTGCTCCAACTTTGTTTACATAACATTTCATTCTCTTCTAATTATCTATTCCATTTATGTCTTCTTTATCTGGTATTGAGGGATGTGAACTTTGATATAAAAAGAGGATAATGTCAAAGTAACTGTTTTAGCTTAAAAATGGCAGCTCAGTTTTTCAGAGCCTGTTTCAGTTATTACTGTGCTTCATACAGCACCAAAATGAGAAACAACACTTTTAAATATTATACTCTTGTTTTTCTTTTAGCCTTATGCAAAAGTAACTAAATGACACTTAGCAATAACAGTACAGTATAAATTACTGTCCAGAAGCAAACAAAAAGTTCTCTCTTGAGCTCCATCTTTGCATTATAAGCTCAGCCTCAGAAAAAGTGTCTTGAATATTGAAATATTAGATCTAATACGTCACACCCATCAAATCACTGACCTAAAACTATCAATTTAATATTAAGAATTAATGTTTCTACCTGTGGAGTATAGAGCTTATTTTGTTTTGGATCCTTGGCTTTGCTCCCCAGAACTGAATGTGGTAGATTCCTACCTCTGAAGGTATCCAGAGGATGCTAACATCACCCTTCCCTGAAGAGCCCCTGAAGGAAACTGCACCATGACATACTGGCTTGCCAGTGGCATTGTGGGAGAATGTTGCAGTTTGCCAGAATGCCAGATTAAGGCTCCAGGATCCTGGCTGGCTCCCAGCTGAGAGCATGATGCTAATGGGTGGCTTTTAAACAAATCAAATCAAATCAAATAAATAAATAAAAATAAAATATGCTTCTGTCCTTGTATGTCATGGTAAGCCCTTCCAGGGACCAAAAGGTTGGAATAGTTGATCTTTCAAGAAATGCTGCCCACCCCACTTCATAGCCTGTTTTGTAAAACAGCTCATTATGCATTTCTGGGACTACACCTTTGGCACAGCTTTAGCTAAGCAAATTGTTTAAACTATGGTTAATTTAAATCCCGAAGTGGAAGCTTTTGATCTCCTTGCAGATTCAAAGGAGGAGCAGGGATGTGTGAGTCACATTGCAGGAAACCGCGAGGTCCTCAAGTGACCAACCCAAGTTCACCCTTCATAGGAAGCTCAGAGGTTCTCCTCAGTCCACCTTGTCAGATGAAGCCTAGTTTACCACTGGTAAACCAGATATAGCTTTTCCTTGATGAGGACGGTCTAGCCATAGTGAGCCCTGATCAGGTAACTTCCTGATAATGGGTTATATGCATGACTGTCCTGGAAGACAACATGGAAGCTTTGGCTAGGGTAGAATGAGGCTGCCACAAACCAAACCAATGCAGCCAGGTTGAACTTGAAAAGGCACCAAAAATGAAAGCACACAATGAGAAATGTCGATATTATATCTGGAAAAGCACATCACTAATAACATCAAGACCAGCAATTCAAAAAACAACCTTTAAATATCCCAGAAGCAGGATACCAGCTAAGGAGATAGTGGAACTGTTGGAGGGAAACAATGTTTAAAGAAAGAAGATGGCGGAGAAGTTGGGTGAACTCTTCATTTGTTTTCACTACAGGAGCAGGAAAGATACGTGGGCCTAAACTGAAGGGAGTCTGAGGGAGTGAAGCAAATAATGGTAACAAGAGACCACCAGCAGCTGGTGCTTATTGGTACTGGAGGGGCAGATAGTGGGTCACTACAGGCAGGCCAGTCTTTTGAATCTCCAGCAGCTCATAGCATAGAAAAGGGAAACATAGGCACTTGAACTTGAAGATCACAAGTGCAAGGCACTGGGGGAAATTCCACCTAGCCACACAAAAACATTCCTTTGGACATGCAGTCTTCTGCTATAACAGCAACTCACTGCAGAGCTCAAGCCACTTTGAAATCATAATGGGGTGGGGAGAAGAACTACGCAGCCACTCAAAATAAGAACAGCAACAAGCCATTGCAAGCAATTACCAAAGGAGGCTTTTGAGAGACCATGCCCACAAGGCTTGTTGTATGCAGAAGATGGAATGCTGAACACGTCCTCAAAACCACACAGAAACACAGTCTTCGACATCAAAGAGCATTCACAATCCACTCCTTTTCAGGTAGTAGTAGTAGAAGCAGCAGTACAGCACCCTGGGATCCATCTGGATGAAGGACAGGTTAAGTATATCTGTTGTAAATACACAAATAGGGGGCTATCTATTTATAAATATGTAATATGGCTCTCTAGCAAGCTTCATAGCTTAATGGGATTTGAAACTACATCTGGGCGCTAATATAATAGCAAATGTTATAAGGTTGGAGGAGGGATGAGGAACCTGTGGCCCTTCTGTTGGGGGCCACACCTCCAGTCATCCATTGCTGGCTAGGGCTGAAGGGATTACAGTCCAACAGCACTGGAAGGCCCCAGTGCTAGGCTAGAGGAAAGCCCTTCTAGTATTTTAGCAGACAAAATGACCCATTATGCATGTCAATAAAAATGCATTTGAGAGGATGAGGAAAATCAATACACATGGAGTAACCAAGCCTTTGTCAAATGCAGTTAAGAGCAGACTACAGCATAGTTCAGCAGGACACAGGCCAGCACAAGTGTATTAAAATGCTCTCTACTGCCCACACCTGTGGCAAAAGCAAGGAGTGAATGACGAGAGGCAGTAACTATAATCAAGCTGTATGAAACTTACTGAGGATTGAGCTGGAGATGGTGCAGGAGTTTGATGTAGTGATTTCCCAGATACCAAAGAATCTAAGGGCTCCATCCTACTAATTGGCCCTTCAAAACTAATTCCCAAATTCCAATGCTTAAGAGCATCCCGTGCAGCACAGGACAAGCAGAGGAGGCATGTTCTGCCTCCCCACACCTCTTGCTGTGTGCTTCAACTAGATGGCCTATTTGGGCACTCCAAAAGTCAAGGAAAGGAGACAGGAGTGTCATCAGGATACACTGTATCCTGGTGGTCTTGGTCTCCACTCTTCCCTGCCCCTTTTACCCCCATTCTGAGGGTTGATTTCCCAACCTCAGAGAGGCAGCTAGCATGGTTCTTTCTGTGATGACTCAGAGATGGGAGACAGATGATCGGTGCACATATCCCCAATTCCAAGGTCACGGCTCCTTCTCTGGCTTCAGATCTGGGAATCAAAATGATCCAGTGTTCCCTTAGATGCTCTCCCCAGCATATATACGTATACACACAAAGAAGATCTGATCTACATGTTTTGTAAACCTATTGAGGAATGATGTTGTTGAAAGTGTGGAACAGACATTCCTGAATAAAGTAATTAAATAAAATAATCACAGCTCCCCGGCAGCACAGTTAGCTTGACGCTAGCATCTAAGATGCTATGGGATATTCAGTTCATGACTACATGGCACTTTTTCGACTCATGAATTATTCAGGTGGCATTTGAAGAACTAAAGCAGCAAAGTCCACACTGGTTCAGACATAAAAGAACCACCCAGTGATGTGGTTGCTATTGTTAGTAAGGAACACTTTTTCTTTTTTGCTCTCTTTTTCGGTACAGAATGATTCAGCTGTTTATTTTCTTTCAACTGTACATCTGAAAACAGAAGTGGAGATATCTGATATAGAAAAATGCAGTGCTCTATTCCAGCAGTACTAATCATGCCAGAAATCCAACGAGAAACACACTCTTCCTTCCCAATCTCATTCTGCTGATTTGAACAAGCAGAATCTGCATTAGCATCTGAATACATAGCTGGCTTTCCATTAAATAAATTATACTCTGAGCCAACAAGTAAATGGTTTTCCCAGCTGAAATCTGGAACTATAACATGAAGCTACCTTTGATATTAAGTCTGACCTCCTAAAAGCTCTTGCATTTTTAATATGGGGGATTGCAACCTTTCCTTCATGTCTAGAAAGGATGAATTTCTGAATTTAACTCACATTGACTAATAACACAATCACATTTGAGTATGAATCATTTTTACATGATTTAAATTTCTATTACCCATTTAGTAATAGTTGGTGTGTTAATGATATTAAGAATCCAACACACACACCCCAAAATAATTTCTTTTTGAAATGTTATTTCTTTTTGGAATAATTTCTTTTATAAATTTTAAAGAAGGGACTTCATGCAAGGCAGAAATAATTGCAGCAAAATATAATGGCCATATTCTATTATATAAACTTTCTTATATAAGTTTATATAATAGAAAGATGGTGGATAACCAAAGATGATGGAGAAGGAAGGACAAGACTGCATGAGCAACTTTAGCTGGGGTGCAACCCTATGACTTTTTAAACAGACAGCAAACCTAGCACTCCTACTGTTCCCCTGTCAGCCCTGCTGGCTGAAGAATGCTGCGACTTGTAGGATATTTTCCTGTCTCAAGCTAGATAGGACAGTGTCCTTAAACTATCATAGTTTGGCCAGCATGGGGTTCAGAATACCATGTACACAACAGAAAACAGCACTTGATGGGGAAGGTTCTGCACAAGACTATTGCTGCACTTTTGAGCATAAGTATGGCTTACATATATAGGGGCTCCAGAAAATTGTTCCCCCACTGTATCTTTTAATTGGGCATAATATAAGTGCAAGAACTGCATAGCATGTTGAAGACAACAATGCATGGCAAACACTGGTATCTGCC